CTCCAGTCTGGGTGACAGAGGAAGACTCCGACTTAAAAAAGAAAGAAAGAAAATGTGTCACCTGTCACAGAGGCTTATGGTGAGAATTAAATGGAAGAGTTTACAAACTCTTCTTTTGTGCTATTTTAACCCATTTTCAATTTGTAATTATGTAACATGAATACAGTTATTCACACGTCTCACATTTTTAAAAAGTCATAAATGGACTGGTTGCGGTGGCTTACATCTATAATTCCAGCATTTGGGAGGCTGAGGTGAGAGGATTGCTTGGGCCCAGGAGTTTAAGACCAGCCTTGGCATAGTAAGACCTTGTCTCTACCAAAAAAAAAAAATCAATAAATTAGCTGGGCATGGTGGCACATGCCTGTAGTCCCAGTTACTTGGAAGGCTGAGGTGGAAGAATCACCTGAGTCCAGGAGGTTGAAGCTGTGGTGAGCCGTGGTCCTGCCACTGCACTCTAACCTGGGTGACAGATTGAGACCCCGACTCAAAAAAAGAGTCTTACATAATGTAGATAATGCAAACTTTTGACCATGTCTCTCACTGCTTTCCCTAGTGGAAGCCTCTGTGGTTATTGTCTCTCCTTTCTATATGCATTTCATAGACATTTGCCATATGGGCTCTGACATGTATAATTTATAAGGATTTTTCTGCAACTCGGTTTTTTTTTTCTAGCAGCATATATCAGAGATGTTCCTGCCTCAGTTCTGCTGCCCACAGTTAACTCACCTGCCCCCCTATTGACAGAGTTTGGGTTGTTTCAGTGTCTCACTGTTAGAACCAAAGCTGCAAAGGACAGCCTGGGGGGAGCCGCCGTGCACCCTCGCACTGGCGTTTCCGTGGGATGGACATCGTTCACGTGTTGTTTTTTTGTGCTGATTCAACACATTGCAACCCCAGCTTTTTGTTTTCAGTGCCTGCCTGCTGGTGGCTCTGAACTGGCCTTTCCATGGCATGCCTCCCCCAAAGCCCCTCAGCCTCACCTCTGGGGCTGCATTCAGGGAGGACAACAGACATAAGCCTGGGCCCCAGACCCAGCAGGGTCAGGCCCCATGTATGACTGGGGGGCCCTGACCAGGTTCAGCCCTGGCCAATTGGGTGAAGCAGGGAAGTCTCCCTTTAGCTCCTGTGCCCTGTGTGCATTCCCCTCCCCACTCCCCGAAAACCCACTCTGCCTGTTTCTACCAGTATATTAGGAGACAATGAGCTGGTTCGAGCACTGGACTCATCCCGCTGAGACTCTTTTTCTCATGTGTAAAGTAGTGACTGTGCCCACCTCCTGGGACAAATGGGAGAGGGAGACATGATCAAGTATGAGCCTGTGGAAGGGTACTCGGATGGAAGTGAAGAGTGTCCTAGCCCCATGCTGCCTCTTGCCCCATCCCACACACTCCCTCTCGGCTCTGGCCATGGCTCCCCCTTTTCCTCCTGTTAAGGCCTCACAGCTCCCCTAAGAAGAAGTACTGCCTCCCTGATGAGATGCCAGAGACACCTGCGTCTCATTAGCAGTGTGTAGACACATCTTGCATTCAGTCAGCTGCTAACCAGAGGCTTCCCATTCAAGGCTATGGTCCCCTGCACATGGGGGCACTGGCCCTTGCTGTCCTTTTAGGTGTCAACCGTCAACTAAGTTGCTGGCTCGTGGCTGAGATCTTAGTTGCTCACTAAGATGTTAGCTGTAACCAAGGTATCTGCTCTCACCCAAGACATGAGTTAATGAATGCTTCCCACCCCCGGGAGATATCCATAGGTTACTTTCCCCTGTAATGAATGCATTGTCATAACAGTCTCTGGTCATGTCTTTTGCCCTCATTAGATGGTCAGTTCTGTGAGTGGAGTTCTCTGGAACACAGCAGGTGCTCAGTGAACGTTAGGAATAAATGGGTGAAAAGCCTCCAGTTGACTCACGGGCGTGGGGTTGCAGTATTGGGTGGTCCTGGGCAGTGGGGCTGAAATTTGAGGCAGTCATCCCAGAGAGCACCCACAGATAAGCATCCACGGCCATGGGCCAAGGGCAGGGGCAGAAATTAGTTCATTCTTCTCTACGAGAGAAAAGCCAGCTGGCAGTGCTAGAGAGCCTCTTGGGTGGGTGCTCCTTGGAGGGACCACCCCCAAACCTGGGCCAGTCCAAGCCTTCCAGGTTGAGAGATTCAATTTCATTAGCTCACCCAGGGGTGACCAGGCTCTGGGAAACCACCCAAGCAAGCTACTGATGGATACGCCAGATCAGCAATTTATTAACTTATGCGAGCAGCTGGGACTGCCAGGCAGCCACAGCGTCTGAGTCAGTCCCTCTGCTTGTTCATTCTCTCTGCGGAAGGAAAATGTACTTGGGCATCCAAGTCGAGCACAGAAGGAGGAAAGTGGGATGGAGCAAAGTCATACTAAAGAATCGCAAGAGGCCGGGCACGGTGGCTGAAGCCTATAATCCCAGCATTTTGGGAGGTCGAGACGAGTGTTCAGGGGTTCAACACCAGCCTCATCTCTACAATAAATCAAAAAATTAGCTGAGCATGGTGGCATGCGCCTGTAGCTCCAGCTACTTGGAGGGCTGAGATGGAAGGATCACCTGAGCCCAGCAGGTTGAGGCTGGTGGCCGTGAGAGTGCCACTGTACTCCAGCCTGGGTGACAGTGAGACTCTGACTCAAAAAAAAAAAGAGCAGACGCCGCATACCCTGTCATGTATCTACCCTCAAAACCACACCACGCTGTGGTGCCTTGTTACTATCCCATTTGGTAGATGAGGACATGGAGGTCATGTGGGTGACTTGAGCAGTGGAACCAGGCCGCAAACCTAGGAGATTCGACTCCTGCCCTGTCTCGGGGGCCCATTCCTCAATGCTGCTGAGCCTGATACCCCCTGCACAGGGCTCCCTAGGCCCTGGCCATGGCTCCCCACTTTTCTCCTGTTAAGGCCACACAGCTCCCCTGAGGAGCAGGACTGCCTCCCTGATGAGAGATGCCAGAGACACCAAGTCTCATCAGCAGCGTAGAGACGTCCCCGAGAGGGCACCTCTCCTTTGGCAGATAATAATGATAAAACCACCCTAATAGCTACCTTTCATTAAGCGCTTACCATGTGTCAGGCACTGTGCCAGTCTCCTTGTACACATTATCTCATGCCAACCTCATTGGGCAGACATGCTTGTCTCCGTCCTACAGAGAGGGACTCATAGACCTGGAGAGAGGAAATACCTTGCCTGGGGCCCCGCGGCTAGTGAGTGGCAGAGCAGAGGCTTGGTCCAAGTCGGTCTGACTCTGAAGCCTGTGCTCAGAATCGCCCCACCTTCCTTCCTTCAAGGGCAGCCTGCCTCGATGTCCCACATGCTGCCATTGGAGCCCTGGTTCCCCATTCACTGGGGATGTTGACACCGAGGCCAGGATTCTTCTAGGATTCCATGGGCTGCGTCTAAAGCAACTCTAAGATCTGGGTCCTGGGAGTCAAGGAGTTAGAGGCTGGGGTGGAGAGGGAACTGGCATGCCTCCAGCCTGAAGAGCCAAGTGCAAGCTTGGAGAACAGGCTCCAGCCCCTGCCGCCTCTGTCCCCTTCCTTCATAGCCCCTGCCACACTGAGTTCCCCCCCTTCACACCATACCCCTCTGGCCTGCCTCCAGGGCTCCCCTAGATCTTCTCAGTCTAGCAAACTCCTATTCATCCTTTAAGCCCCAAGTGAAATGCCCTTCTCCTGGGACACCTTCCTCCTGCTCAATCAGTAGTTCCCTCCTCCATAGCCTGAATCTTGCATTTATTGGGCTTTCTTGTAATTATTGGTCAGTGACAACCCCCGCCGCCCCGCCGAAGCTGTAACTTCCCCAGATAGGCACGGCCTTGTGTTTCTCATCATCTCTTCTGGCACTCAACTGTTGCCCCATCTGTATTTATTGTAGGATGAATGAGTTTCAGAGGACCCGAGACACAGTCTCCCTCACACAAGTGACGGAAGAGCTGGGCACAGCCCAGTTAGCAAGAATGTGAACTGGTGTAGAGAATTCCAATCCGTATGGATCAGTGGTTCATAGCCTTTGAGATGAGAGTGTCCCTTCTGGCCTGCCTCCCTGGAAAAGTGTGCCATGCCTGCCAGATTTCACATGCTGCTTCTGGGGGTTCCGCTTCCTAGGTTTGGGCCCCAGGAAAGCAACATGGGAGGAGGAGCAGGCCTGGTAGCGGGCAGTGCAGTGGCACAGAGGCTCTGTCCCTGAGGGAATCTGTATCTAGTCATCTAGTCCATTAGGCCGAGAAGGCGCCCAGGAGACAGCCTGTGTCCAGGAAGAAACATGTTAAACCCCGTGCTGCCCATTACAGCTGAGCAGAATGGCTAAGGGTGGGGGGCTCTGGATCTGAAGCTGACACGCTTGAGTTCAAATCCTGGCTTTGCCAGTTCCCGGCTGTGTAACCTTGGGTGAATATTTGACATCTTTGGGCCTCGTTTCCTCTGGGAATACTAGAATTCCTACTTGATAGGGATGTCCGTTAGACTAAGTGGGGTAACGTCTGTCAAGCACCTAACAAGTGCTCAGGTTGTTATCACCTGAAGTGTTCGATTCTCCTCCAAGATCAGGGTCCTTAGGGAATGGCAAAAAGACTAGGCCTCAGCTTGAAGGTCCCCTACTCCAGGAAACCTTCCCTAAAACTCCCTGCCATACCCACGTAGGTGAGTTTCCTCAGCACCCCCTGCATCTCCACCTGGCACTTTGGGTTTCTCTAGCTCATCTCATCGTACTAACAATTACTTCCCTCTAGACTCTAAGCCAGGACAAAGATCCTGTCTGTCTTGTTCTCTGCTGTCTCCCTATGCCTGGCACAGAATAGGTGCTCAGTAAAGAGCTGTTGAATAGAATTAGGGCTGGAAGGTGTTGGGAAAGTTCCAGATTTCGGGCTGACACAGGAGGGTCATTGGGCAGCCAGGCAGCAGATGAGGAGAATAAAATTGGGGATGGGCCACCTTCGGTGTCACACTGACACACACTCTGCTTTCTCCTCTCTCTCCCCGTTTTCTCAGTTCCTGGCATTTGACACGCAGTTGCTGATGGGGAACCGACGCCACTCGCTGAGCCCCGAGGAGTATATTTTTGGAGCCCTCAACATTTACCTAGACATCATCTACATCTTCACCTTCTTCCTGCAGCTTTTTGGCACCAACAGGGAATGAGGACCCCTCCCCGCCCCCTCCCCCCTCCAGAGAATGCTCCCTTCCTGGACCTCTGACCCTCCCCTGTGCTCCTTTCGAGACCTGATATAAAAGTAGCTGCCAACCCAGCCTGTGGCCAGGCCGCGCTCTCCCCTCAGCCCGGCCTCGCCCCTGCCCTCTGCAGCTTGTACATATGCCATCAGGGCCCTGTGGAACCGAGGCCACATCCTTCTGTGCCACCCCTCCCCCCATTACATCTTCCGAACTGGTACAGTCCAGGCTGGAGGCACTTCGGGGTTTGAGGACCCGAGGGACAAGTGGGAGGAGCCCAGCAGGATTTCAGATGTGGGATGGAAACTCCAGGACGCCCGAGACCAGTGCCCTCACCGAGAATCCCCCTAGGGTTGCCACAACCGAGCCACCACCCTCTGTCCCCTCCCATCTTTCTCTTCCAGGTCAGGCATTAACACTTTGTAAGAGCAGGGCTGGGGGCACAACTCAGAAGATAGGGGGGGGTGCTTTGCAAATGTGAAGGGTGCTGGTGGGGGGAGCAGAATGACTGTCCCAGTCTGCCCATCATCTCTCAGCTCTGGGACCAGTGGCTTATTCTAGATACTTGGGCCCGGGGGCCAAGGGCAGTGGGAGAGGGGCTGAAGCCAGTGCCACCCACTGCTTGGCTAGGATGACCCTCCTGGGTGATGACAGAGTGCCTTTGGGGCAGAATGTGGGGCAGGGGACCCTGCTTCCCAAAGAGGTCCTGTCCTGGGCTCCCCGGGATGTGGGAGCAGGCCAGTAGGCTGGGAGGCCCAGACTCTGCAGTTCGCCAACCCAGCCAGAGCCATGTCCCCGGGGCAGTGTTTGGGGTTGCAGGACTGAGACCGCTTCCTCTCCCTTGCGTCTCCCCCCCCCCCCCCCCGCAGGCTGCTCACACAGGCCTGAGGCTGAGTGGGGTGTGCTCAGGCCCTCTGGCTGGATGTTCTGGGGCAGGAGGCAGTCCTAGTGTCTGAGCCCCATCTGGAAGGAATCCCTAACCCCAGCCCTAACCCCAGGCTGTGGCAAAGTCCCTCTGCACCTCTTATTTCCAAGTCCTCCCCCACCGGCTGCCACTTCTTGGCTTGTCCCCAGCCAGGCCTCCTGAGGCCATAGTAGTTGGCAGTACCCACACCCCCTCTCCCAGCTTCGCTGGCCACTCAGCCCAGCGTCCCCAGCCCCCCTTCACCCCCTTATCTCTGCATCTTTCCAATTTGGAAGCTGTCCAGCTGATGCTAACAGCCAGGGCCAGGCTCTCCAGCTGGTCCCGTGTATTGAGGCCAGGGCCCCTTATCAGCTTCCAGGCGGCTGGGATCTCAGGCTGGGTGTGCGTCAGTCACCCAACCCCCAGCGGGGTGCCTGCTGGGGAGGGGACCAGGGGGCCACACCTGGGGAAGCACGCAGCCAGCATGTGCACATAGCCACTTCTGGGCAAGTGGAAAGTTACTATGTGGGGACAGGGAGACTCTGAGAGGCTCAGAGGACCCTCCCTTGGCCTCGCCTTCCGACTGCTCCTCTCTTCCCCCATGCTGGGAGCTCTACTGGCCCCAGGGAGGGTGGCAAGGTGAACTAATGTTCGCCCCCACCCCCACGCTTCCCCACCCTTCCTACTTCCAACTTGCAAGAAACATTGCAGAAGCACTTGAAGTTTTGTTCCATCTTGGGTACTTGAGAGGGAAAGAACTGAGAGCCAGCGGGTGGTGTGTGTGGACTCAAAGGCATCCGGGGCCTGGGTGGGATGTCCACTGTGTGCTGGGCTAATTCCATGGCAGCACGTAAAGGCCACGTGCTGCACATCCCCGCTGCTGAAGGAAAGGTGACCGAGGTGCCCAGAAAGGTTCGACAGTGAGTCCAAGGTCATGCACCTAGCAGGCGGCAAGTCTCAAGTCCCCAACTTGGGATCTGAGGACTCCAAGTGGCATCACTCTTGCCCCCTACCTTCTGGACATGAGCTGGGAGACAAGATTCCTGGCTTCTGGTTCCCAGCCTCCCTGCCAGCGGCTCACAGTCTTTGGCGATGTTTCCTGCCATCTGTACTATTTGCAAGATGGAAGTCCCTGGCCAGGACGTGGCTGGGGCAGGGTACTAGAGCACGTCTTTCCTTCCACTGGCTTCCTCACCCACTTCCCCCTCTCCCAGGCTTCTGGGTTCCTCTCCTAATCTCTGGCCTCAGTTTTAGAGGCTTTAGCCCCCGCGCCCCCATCATCCTGTGGCTTAGACTGGGCCTTGGTCATGCTTCTCAGAATCCACTTGTCCAAGTCCTCCTCTCCCTGGGATAAGTTATGCAGAAACCAGGGATTGAGAAGCTTATCCAGGGCTCAGCGCCAAAAGCTTGGGGGAGGAGGGGCAAGCCCTCAGCATAAACAACATTATGGTTGCACCGGAAACAGCCATGTCAGAGACACTCCTTGCAGAGGTGGGAAGGCCCCACAGAAGATGCCATAGCCTTCTACCCTGGGGCCTGAGTGGGGACCTGGGGACCACTGTGCTGCTGCAGGGCCAGGGTGGAAGCCTATGCGTTCCACCTCTGATCCAGGCAGTGAGGAACCCCGGGAACACCTGGATGGGTGTTGGAAGGAGGAAGGGCAGGGAACCAGGAATGCAGGATTAGAGAAACTGAAGCTGAACAGGTGCCACGAGCCGAACTGTGTGGGGGAAGGGGTGTAGCAAGGGAGTGGGGTAGTGGCATCTCACATTTTTGGCCCCTAGGGGCTGGGCCCAAGGAAGAGGTAGGTTGGACTTTATAAAGCTTTATAAAGCTAGAGGCAGCCATATGCGATAACTGACCACATACAATGTGAGGTCAGAGGTCTCCTGGTGAGGGGGACGAGGAGAGCCTCTCCTGGAGGCTGCAGATTGAGGCCCGGGAGGCACCAGCAAGTCTAGGACGCCCCACACCAATTCCAGAGCACGCACATGGCTGCTTCTGTATCGCCTGGGGAAGCCCCGAGAATCTCAGTTCTTCCATTCCTTATTCTTCCTTCCTGGGGAGTCGGGATGAGACACACACCCATTTTCCAAAAGGCTCCCTGCCTCCTTCCCTGGCTCACCTGGGGACGAGTCCCTGGTGACCTGTCCGATCACCTGGATTGGAGTGGGATTTTACACAAGCACCTTGCTGCCCCCGTGTGGCTGCTTGAGGAAGAGCAGGGCCGGGATATGCTGGAGAGAAAAGGGGCGTGGCAGGGTTGGGTAAGGGGCAAAGTCTGGCCGCCGGCTCTCCTCGGACTTCCCAGACCGGTCTTCTGATCAGACACCGGCTGTTTCGTTTTGTCCAACAATTGTCACGTCACTCAGACACTGTTTGCCTGTCTGCTCAAAATCACCCCTGCGCGAGCCCTCCCTGGGCTGTCCTGGGTGGCTGAGGGCAGACACAGCTCCTGGGAGGTGGCTCGCGTGTCACAGCCCCAGACACCACTGCCGTCCTCTGGCCTCAGCTCCTCCACGTCCCCCAGTGCTCCACGCCTGTTCCCTTCCCTGGCCTCACCTTCCTGAGGGTCTGTTACTGACTGGAGATAAAAAAAATAAAAGCGATTTGACACCTGAGCCGTTTGCTTCCCTTCCCTGCCTCGGATGGCTCGTGAGTCTGTGTGAGTGTGGAAGGCCTAACTTGGGTCACTGGGGACAACCTCCTGCCAGAGCCGCTGCTCCCTGCGTGACCAAGGTGGAATTAAATTTCCACGTTTATTTTTATTTTATTTTATTTTATTTATTTATTTTGAGCTGGAGTCTCACTCTGTCACCGGGACTGGAGTGCAGTGGCTGCTCCCGGCCACCGCAGCCTCGACCTGCTGGGCTCCGGCGATCCTTCTGCCTCAGCCTTCCGAATAGCTGGAATTACTGGTATGCGCTACCATGCCCGGCTGAGTTTTTGATTTATTGTAGAGATGAGGTCTCGCCAAGTTGCCCAGGCGGGTCTCGAACCTGCGGGCTCAGGCAATCCACTCACCTCAGCCTCCCAAGGCGTGGGATTACAGGCTGAGCCACCAAGCCTGGCCATGTTTATTTTATTTTATTTTATTTTTTGAGTTGGAGTCTCACTCTGTCGCCCAGACTGGAGTGCAGTGGCCGATCCCAGCCACCGCAGCCTCAACCTGCTGGGCTCCAGCGATCCTTCCGCCTCAGCCTTCCAAGTAGCCGGAACTACAGGCGTGTGCTACCAAGCCCGGCTGATTTTTTGATTTATTGTAGAGATGAGGTCTTGCTGCCCAGGCGGGTCTCGAACCCACAGGCTCAGGCAATCCACTCACCTCAGCCTCCCAAAGGCACAGGATTACAGGCTGAGCCACCAAACCCAGCTCACGTTTATTTTTAAGTGGAAAAAGGGTTAGGGTCCTTCTCAATAAACCCTTCACGGAGGCTCTCAGGATCCCAGAGTTGGAAGGATTCCCAGAGAGACTCCTCCTGACTGGGGACTCACCCCTTTCCATGGAAGTCTGTTTTTTTTTTTAAAGTTGGAGTTGTTGTCACCCAGGCTGGAGTGCAGTGGCACGCTCACGACCACCACAGCCTCCAACTCCCAGGCTCAAGTGATCCTCCCATTTCAGCCTCCCAAATAGTTGGGACTACAGGCACATACCACCACACCTGGCTAATTTTTTGATTTTTTTGTAGAGGCAAGTTCTCGCTATGTTGCCTGGGCTGAGGCCTGTTCTTTTGTGGGCAGCTCTGGTAGAAGACACTTTCTTATTTTGAGCTGAAAACTGTTTCTCTAGAAGGAAAGACTGTGTTGTACCTGGACAGACCCCAAGAGCAGCAGCTTTCAAATTATGAAACTAGAGCTCCCTGAAGGCAGACCCTGTCTTGTCTGCCCTTGAATTCACAGGATTTATGACACATGGTCTCAATAAACAACTTTCGAATGACTGGAGGAATGAGTGAATGAATATATCTACTCCAACACTTTTATTTTACCTGAAAGGAAACTAAAGAGCAGACGTGCCATGACTTGTCCATGTTTATGAATAATGAAATGACTGGAGGTATGATTAGAAGACACACAGGTTAATGATCACATCACAAGTTTCTGCGGGGAACTTGGGGCTGGGGCAGTGTACGGGAGGGGACGCCATCACACTGGAGCAGAGGGGGACGTTAC